GGGTCACTGATGATCCACGTGGCACAGAACGTGATACAGAGAAACCAAAGACTCCTTTCTTTGTCACGTATTTTTATCTTTTAACTTCTTCGATACGTTTGTCGCTCGTGCCACATATCGCCGTAAGATAAAGACGTTTGCACATGTATCTACACTTCTGTGACCATGAATATACTTATTGATTATATCTGTTGGGAAACTGCTGCAAATTCCTGCATATATAACACGTAGATATTTTAGTATGCGAAGACTACAACGCAGAGAAAAGGACAAGTCATGATGCGATATTTTATGAAGAAGAGATCTTAAAATTCGATACCTTGTGCGTACGTTAGCTTCTCTGCAAAATTTCCTCCCTTTATTCAGTTTTGGGATAAAGCTAGAGACTTTCTCGCGTTTCGTTCTCTTTTTTAGAATCTAGAACATATTTATGAAATCGCGAGAACAAATTTCATGATAATTCACGGGCCATCGATCACTATAAATATTCGCGGTCTAATAATTCGTGTAAAATCCACATTTGTCAACGAGTTATTTGCCATCACGATATTTGGCATATTGGTAATTAAAATCCGGAGTTTCGTGATTATCGGGATTACCATAATCCCTCCCGTCGGGAGCATTGAAACGATAAAGCACGTCCTTAAATGATGCAAAAACAATTTTCAAAGTTGCAACGCGTGACGTTCCTGGAAAAAAAAAACAATCACAGTTCATCGAATGGATGCAAATTCAACTTTCTACCAAGCTGTACACAAATAAGTATCACAAGTATTGAGATACTTATGCACACAGAGCAACAAGAAAATGATTAATCAATGAGATCATAGTCACAGCAGTTCACAGACTGGCAGAAGTACCTACATATTCTTAAGACACATAGCGATCCATTCAAGTTCAAATACTTATACATTAGTCTAATATGAAACACACAAGAAGTAACCTAAAAGAACAAGAAAATGATTAATTAATGAGATTATAGTCACAGCAGTTCACAGACTAGCAGAAATACTTACATATTTTTTAAGACATAGGATAAGACATGCATTCAAATTAAGGTACTTATACACTGGTCTAATATGAAACACAAAAGAAGTAACCTAAAACAACAAGAAAATGATTAATCAATGAGATTATAGTCACAGCAGTTCACAGACTAGCAGAAGTACTTATATATTTTTTAAGACAGGATAAGACATGCATTCAAATTGAGATATTTATGCACTGGTCTAATATGAAACACAAGAAGTAATCTAAAACAACAAGAAAATGATTAATCAATGAGATTATAGTTAAAGCAGTTCACAGGACTAGCAAAAGTATTAGGAGTACCTATAAATAATGCTGTTTTTTTTTCCAATTTAATAAACATTGCCATCTACTGACACCAATTTAAATGAAATAAAATTTTGTACAAAATCAAAAAACGACATTATTTATGGATATCCTTATTATTTATATATTCTTACAAAGCATACGGTGATGCATTTAAGTTAACATAGTTATACATTAGTCTAATATGAAACACGGGAAGTAATCTAAAACAAGAAAATAATCAATCAATGAGATCATAGTCACAATAGTTCACAGACTAAAAGAAGAATATCTATGTATTCTTAATTCAAGTTTGTTTAATATGAACGTGGACGCAGTTTCTCTGAAAAAAGATATTTCTTTTGTAAAACATTTTGCACAAATGGAAAGTACACGTGAAATACTATTACCTACTCGGTTAAACTAGAAACTATTAACGATTAAAGCGATAAAATTTCGTAAAATCAGAGACTTCTTTTGAAGTCGAAAAAACAGGGAAACTTTATAACACAAAATTTTGTTTGTACGTTTTACGTCTGTAAAGTATCTAACAGAAATTACTTAAATTGGTCATTTTGACCACTTTAGTAAGTCCAGTGTTAAAAGCGTGTCCAACCTCTACCATGAGCGATTATTTGGACGCGACCAGCATGTTTTCCACCAAATTTTCAGCATACGAGACCTGGGGAATTCGACTTGAGCTATTCGTTGTTAAGACAAATGCCCCTCGCAGTTTATGCTTCGTGATTGACCAAACATTTTCAGTTTATAACTGGCACCGGGGGACTGAAATAATTTCTCGTAATTTCTCTTTTTCCATTGCGTGCAAACGCGACTTCGATGTTCGAGATCCTTATCTTCGGATCGTTGAAGCATTCAAGACAAAGGTTCCCTTCGTCAAATTAGTGTTTTGCAGACTTGAAAGTCCCGAGCGATTGTTTGCAAAAACGTGTAGAGTCCCAAATCCACGAACGTTAAAGTTATAAAAAGAATATTATAAAAGAGAAGATATAAAAATAAATGATGAACATAATAAATGATATACATTTAATTTAAACACGTAAATTTTATATATAATAATGTTTCTCAATCTATTTAAATATATACATATATATACATAAGTTATATATACTAGTTAATATTGTTATATTTAAATAAAAATTTATTTATATATTAACACATTGCGGACCAGTAGTTTTATTGCTAGCTTTAACCAGTGGCCAGGTGTGTTTCTGTTGAAAAGGCACGTTTGAAAATTAAATACCTATTGCATTATGAAATTATTTGTTACATATCCTTACAAGCTAATATCTTGTTAAAGTATGATACTTTGTAGAACACTGTGTTTTGTAAAACATGTGAAGTGGAACTAAACAAAGCTGGCAAGTGTTTTTCTTCTCTTTACTTTTACATGCTTTGCAAACTTTAGTAGGATACATTTCTTCTTTTTCCCTTCAATATCATCATTACAAAATCAACATCTTCACTTTCACTTGGAATATCTGATAAATTGTCAGCAAATGTATCTAGAATATTTTCATGTTCTTCATCGTTGTCCATGGTTATTAAACGCTTTGAGATACCTAGAATTGATGTAAAAAAATTACCAAGGACAAGGGACCAATCATTTTCAATTATGTAACTTTCAACTTCAGCGAATGTGTTCACTCCAAGTAACAGCAATGAAAAGCCAGAACAGAATTCTCGTAATCTGCAATTAATACTTATTCTTCTTTCATAACACTCTGAGCCAACAATCAGTTACAACGACGCACGTTATACCCAATATTAGGAAAAAGAAAAAGAAAAAGAAAGGGCACGAGAGGCGACAAACAAGTTGTCGTTCGTTGGAAAAAAGGGAGTTAGCAAGTAAGGAATCGGCGAGAGGAAATCAGGTGCGAGCGCGAGCGCCACGGGGATTAGAAGGATGCGTGATGATGGTGGAGAGGGAGGGATCGTCACAGCGGTGACGGCGCGTTGTCGAGGAGAGAGGGTGGCGCGTTGAGTCGGGGGTAGTCAGCGCCTCTACAGAGGGTGAGTCTCAGTCGCCAATCGGTCAGCCTGCCGCACGGCTGGGTCTCGGGATCCCTGTGCGCGAGTATACGCTGATCAGCGCGCGCGCGCGCCTCGTTACTCGTCACACACGTACGTACGCGCGACTAGGCAAGGACGACGACGACGAGGTAGCAGCAACAGTGGTGGTTGCTTTCGATGGGCGAGAGTCGCGAGAG